CCATTATGGGATGGAGATTTGATATAATAATAAAATATATAAATTAATTAATTTTACGTTTTATAATTGGAATGAATATTAAACGCTTACTATTTAAAATAAAATTGTTAGTTACTAATTACTATATAATAAAATATTGAATTGGAATGAGGATTATTAAAACTATAAAAAATATTTTAATTATTTTTAAATTGAATTGACGAATGATATTTTGTTTAAAAGCCATTCTATTTTATTTTATTTTAAATACAAATGTTTTTCAGTTTAATTTATAATAATTTTAAAGGATAAAATTTATCTTGCGTAATATTATAATTATGGCCATTCACAAAAGGAGATAGAGAAGATATATGTCCAATGATCTTAGAAGGTTTCTGTTGTGGTTTCAATAAAGGAACTTCATTCCATTATGGGATGGAGATTTGTCATAATTATTTTATTCTTCTTATGAGTGGCCTTAACTGTGTTATAATGTTTGGTTATAAAATTGTGGCGTCAATAACATAAATATATTTTATAAAAATGAATATTTATTTTTAATATAATTTCATCGAATTTCAAACAGTAATTCTTGAAAATCAACTTTTATATAACAAATTTATATACACAGTAAATTAATAAATATTGCAATAAATTAATACTAGTCAAACTCTTAAAAACGTAAAAATATCAATTTAAAAATTTAAACTGTTATTACAAATATTTGTTTAGACAATAAAAAAAACTATTGGCCATACTTTTATATATACTGTAGTTTGTATTCCACATATTAATTAAATCTAACAAGAAAGAAGTATTAACTTAAAATCAAAAATCACGAGCCAATCCTAAATGTAAACTTGCGTATGATAAACTTTATATTGAAAATGGCATTTTTGTTTTTGATTTAAAGTACAGTCAATTAAAAACTAATTCTAACATACTAAACTTGTAAGAATAAATAATTGTTCAGTCATCTTAGATAAAATCAGTTTCCATGTGTAGTGTTCCAGGGCCCATCAGTGTCTAAATGTATTAAATCATTAAACATCTGTTCAGTGATTTAATCCATGGTTGCAAGTTCACAGCTCACCTACGGACTGACATCGTGGAGTTTTTCGAGTTTACTTTACGTGTCTAGTACTTAAATTGGACCGCTTTTCATAAGTCTTTCCTCGTTGGCAGATCGCACATGTTTTGCGTTGGATTATTTCATTAATCCAAATTTCCGAATTAGATCTCCAATAGGTAGAATCAATATATTGTTTTATATTCTATAAATACGATATTTTTATTGTATTTCAGATCTAATTTGGAAATTGTTAAGAGTCTTCGTATATGCTATTTTTGGCGAATATCAGATTTGGACATTACTTACGTTTATTTTCCTTCTTATGATAAAATGATCCAGTATAACAAATTAACTTTCCTAATTTCTAGATCATCGTATCTTGAGTTCATATGTTCTTTGCTTTGTTGAAACGTCACGTTAGAAGAATTTCATTTAAAATAATCAATTGGATGAATTTAATATTTCTTTCTTCATTCTCTCTGACTCTGACACATCTTTAATTATATAGAAGATCTGTAATAGATCTAGTAGTCAGTAGCACAGTCAGGGTTTTCAAGGAAGCAATTGTACCCTTTGCTACTAATATCCATCTTTTAACAATTAAAGTTTTAATCAGTGGCGTAGCGTAGTGGGGGCGGCAGATTCGGACCGATTGAAATGAGCACGGAATTTTTCATTACTTATTCCGTGACGAAACTGAATTTTAGTCTTTTAATTAAATTGAGATACCTAAATAAGGGAGCGGCGAAATTTTCCTCCGCCCAGGGGAGCTGACACCCACGCTACGCCACTGATTTTAATGAATTATGAAGTACAGTATATCCAAATGAATGGTTTTTATATATTCATCTTGCCAAAAGGCTCACAATAGCATTAAATTAATTAAGTATACAGTTTAAAGTGAAGAGAAGCCGAGAAAAATACTTCATTATACGCTGGAGATCGTATAATGAAGGCATTGTTTGTATGGACTTTTTAATGGTTTTAGAAGCATACGAATTAGTTCTTATAAGACTATTACTAGTCATGTGTATAAACTATCAATTAGAAAATATTTTCAGAACTTTTTTAGGTAATTTCTTCAATGTCAATATTAACCATCGTACACATAGGTAGGGGTTTGCCAAAAGTAGGCCTACATATTATATATAACAGGGAGGGAGAGGTCAAAACTGGCTCAAAAACTGTACAGGTAATTTATGAACGACTCTAGATCTGAGAGTAAATAAGAGTTCTTTTATAAAGAAATCTTTTATAAAAAGTAATAACATAACAGAAATAAAAAATGCAAGTAATGAAAAACATTCACAGTATAAAGCAAAAGTGGTCTTTGCCCCACGACATCCATGATTAAAAGACTAAATATCCCATGTGTTACTTTGATGAGTGAAAATAAATAGGACAGGAAAGATTTATTAAGAATTCAACATCCTCATTTGATAGATGTGAATTTCATTTCCAGCTGTTAGTAAATATAGATTCTTCTCTTTGGGCTCTGTATTCATTTTCATTCAAAAATTAATTATATACGTTCATATTTACTGTACATAAATCCGTTTATAGATTTATATTTTAAACAAAATAATTTTAATTTTGAAACTTGAAAAGGAATTTATGCATTTCAATTTTTATATAATAATAAAATTATAGAAATGAGTACACAGAAACTTAAATCAACAGAATTATATTACTTGTATTTTCTCAATTATATAAATTTTATATTTAATAATTTATTTATTTTTTAGGTTCTTATACACCAAGCGCTGGATTAGATTTAGTAAGAAAACAAGTAGCTAAATATATAGAAGAACGTGACGGGGTTAAAACTAATTATCACGATATCTTTATGTCAAGTGGAGCAACAGAAGCTGTTAGAGTAATAATATCATAGCATTGAAATAAAATTAGAATTAGATTTTGATAATTTGTAGATGCAGAAAGACAAAAGTTTTATTTTTTCTAAAATAAATTAAATCTTTTAATAGAATTGTAAAAATAAATTATAATTTATTTTTTAGTCCGTTTTAAGCATCTTGAACAATTCAACTAACGATAAACCACCAGGAGTCATGATTCCTATTCCACAATATCCTCTATTCTCTTCAACTGTTGCAGAATACGGAATGTATCAGGTTTGTGTTTTTGAAATTTATTTTTCAACATCTCAGTTGTTTTTAATATAAGTTAATTAAATGTATAAATATTACAGATCAGTTATTATTTAGACGAAGATAACGAATGGGCAATAGATATGAGCGAATTAAAAAGAGCCGTTGATGAAAGCAGAAAACATTGCCAACCGAGAGCTTTAGTAATAATTAATCCAGGAAATCCCAGTGGTACATAAATGTGATTAAACAGATTTGCTTCCAATTAATTTTGATAATTATATGAATTATGTTTTTTAAGGATTTGTATTAACTCGAGAAGATATCCAAGAAATCATTCGTTTTGCTTATAATGAAAATCTTTTTATATTAGCAGATGAGGTAATTACGAAGAAATTTATTAATATAATATTATGCTTTCATAAATAAATTTATTTGCTAATATAAATACATTAATCTTGTAATATTTTAACGTTATTATCCTATAATTTGTTAAATACATACATACAAAATGAATTACTTATAAAATTATTAGATAAAATTTATTATATATGTTTATATTTAATATTGTTTTATTTTACAGGTTTATCAGTATAATGTTTACGATGAGAATTCGAAATTTATTTCATTTAGAAAAGTTTTAACAGAGATGGGTCCTCCATATTCCGAAATGGAATTAGCATCTTTTATGTCAGGTTCAAAAGGTTTTATGGGAGAGTACGTTTACTTTACAGTGTTTTCTTAATATAATATAATATAAATATTTAATTTTTTTAAATAACTAGTAATTAATTTTATAATTTTATTAATGAGATGTGGAGCAAGAAGTGGATATTGTGAAATTATTAATTTGGATAATGGAGTTAGAGAGATGTTGATGAAGTCTTTAACTGCGAAACTTTGTCCTACAATTCTTGGACAGGTAAATTTAATTCTTATTGCCAAATATATTGAAAAAAGGAAAATAAAAATAACTTAAATGCATATAGATTGTGATGTATGGAATAACAAATTCTCCTAGACCAGAAGAACCTTCTTATGAAGAGTTTACATCTGTAAGTATTTATTTTTTACAATTATTAGAAATTAAAAAGTTCTTGATATATAAATATTAATAAATCTAACAAGATCGATGTTTTATATAATTTTTTATAGGAAAAGAACGCAATTTTATCGTCATTAAAGCAAAGGGCCGAATTATGTTACAGGGTTTTTAACAGTATGGAGGGAATGAAATGTAATAAAGTTGTTGGCTCTATGTATGTTTATCCTCGTATTTTTATGCCAAAAAAGGCACTGGAAATGGCAAAAGTTAATAAAATTGATATATACGTCTATTAAAATTATTTTAATATATAATATATACATAATATTTTGGTTTATTTAAATAGGAAAGACGACAAGAACCTGATGAGTTTTATGCTATGAGTTTGTTAGAAAATTCTGGTATTTGTGTTATACCAGGATGCCTTTTTGGGCAAAGACCAGAAACTTACCATTTTCGGTTAGTTTATTCACTATTAATGCTTTTATACCATAAAGAGGGTATATTTGAAATTTATGCTTGAAAGTAATTAAATTATTTTAATATGTAATCATTGTGATGTATGTGTTTTTTTTTTTATTACAGATTGACATTCCTTCCACAAATGGATAAACTCAAAATAATTCTTCAACGAATACAAGAATTCCATGTAAAATTTATGGATTTATATCGAGACGAAGATATATAAATTTGCTTCATTTCAAATTATTCTTTTTTATATTTTGTTAATATTTAGTTTTCTAATGACAAAAAATATCCATCAATATTAAAACTTATTGTTATTATTTTTTCTTTTTAGATTTATATACTTGTAATTTGTCTATTTTTTATTCTTAATGAAATGCAATTACTATTCATTAAAAAACAAAACTATTTATATAAAAATTCCTGAAAAGAAATAGTTCAATAACTTAAAATCCGAATTCATTTTCATGATTAGGGTCAATGCATCTTCAGCCTAATTCATTACAAAAATTATCATAATGTTAATGTTAAATTATGTTTAATATATAATAGATTAATTAAATTAATTAAGTATACAGTTTAAAGTGAAGAGAAGCCGAGAAAAATACTTCATTATACGCTGGAGATCGTATAATGAAGGCATTGTTTGTATGGACTTTTTAATGGTTTTAGAAGCATACGAATTAGTTCTTATAAGACTATTACTAGTCATGTGTATAAACTATCAATTAGAAAATATTTTCAGAACTTTTTTAGGTAATTTCTTCAATGTCAATATTAACCATCGTACACATAGGTAGGGGTTTGCCAAAAGTAGGCCTACATATTATATATAACAGGGAGGGAGAGGTCAAAACTGGCTCAAAAACTGTACAGGTAATTTATGAACGACTCTAGATCTGAGAGTAAATAAGAGTTCTTTTATAAAGAAATCTTTTATAAAAAGTAATAACATAACAGAAATAAAAAATGCAAGTAATGAAAAACATTCACAGTATAAAGCAAAAGTGGTCTTTGCCCCACGACATCCATGATTAAAAGACTAAATATCCCATGTGTTACTTTGATGAGTGAAAATAAATAGGACAGGAAAGATTTATTAAGAATTCAACATCCTCATTTGATAGATGTGAATTTCATTTCCAGCTGTTAGTAAATATAGATTCTTCTCTTTGGGCTCTGTATTCATTTTCATTCAAAAATTAATTATATACGTTCATATTTACTGTACATAAATCCGTTTATAGATTTATATTTTAAACAAAATAATTTTAATTTTGAAACTTGAAAAGGAATTTATGCATTTCAATTTTTATATAATAATAAAATATATAAATTAATTAATTTTACGTTTTATAATTGGAATGAATATTAAACGCTTACTATTTAAAATAAAATTGTTAGTTACTAATTACTATATAATAAAATATTGAATTGGAATGAGGATTATTAAAACTATAAAAAATATTTTAATTATTTTTAAATTGAATTGACGAATGATATTTTGTTTAAAAGCCATTCTATTTTATTTTATTTTAAATACAAATGTTTTTCAGTTTAATTTATAATAATTTTAAAGGATAAAATTTATCTTGCGTAATATTATAATTATGGCCATTCACAAAAGGAGATAGAGAAGATATATGTCCAATGATCTTAGAAGGTTTCTGTTGTGGTTTCAATAAAGGAACTTCATTCCATTATGGGATGGAGATTTGTCATAATTATTTTATTCTTCTTATGAGTGGCCTTAACTGTGTTATAATGTTTGGTTATAAAATTGTGGCGTCAATAACATAAATATATTTTATAAAAATGAATATTTATTTTTAATATAATTTCATCGAATTTCAAACAGTAATTCTTGAAAATCAACTTTTATATAACAAATTTATATACACAGTAAATTAATAAATATTGCAATAAATTAATACTAGTCAAACTCTTAAAAACGTAAAAATATCAATTTAAAAATTTAAACTGTTATTACAAATATTTGTTTAGACAATAAAAAAAACTATTGGCCATACTTTTATATATACTGTAGTTTGTATTCCACATATTAATTAAATCTAACAAGAAAGAAGTATTAACTTAAAATCAAAAATCACGAGCCAATCCTAAATGTAAACTTGCGTATGATAAACTTTATATTGAAAATGGCATTTTTGTTTTTGATTTAAAGTACAGTCAATTAAAAACTAATTCTAACATACTAAACTTGTAAGAATAAATAATTGTTCAGTCATCTTAGATAAAATCAGTTTCCATGTGTAGTGTTCCAGGGCCCATCAGTGTCTAAATGTATTAAATCATTAAACATCTGTTCAGTGATTTAATCCATGGTTGCAAGTTCACAGCTCACCTACGGACTGACATCGTGGAGTTTTTCGAGTTTACTTTACGTGTCTAGTACTTAAATTGGACCGCTTTTCATAAGTCTTTCCTCGTTGGCAGATCGCACATGTTTTGCGTTGGATTATTTCATTAATCCAAATTTCCGAATTAGATCTCCAATAGGTAGAATCAATATATTGTTTTATATTCTATAAATACGATATTTTTATTGTATTTCAGATCTAATTTGGAAATTGTTAAGAGTCTTCGTATATGCTATTTTTGGCGAATATCAGATTTGGACATTACTTACGTTTATTTTCCTTCTTATGATAAAATGATCCAGTATAACAAATTAACTTTCCTAATTTCTAGATCATCGTATCTTGAGTTCATATGTTCTTTGCTTTGTTGAAACGTCACGTTAGAAGAATTTCATTTAAAATAATCAATTGGATGAATTTAATATTTCTTTCTTCATTCTCTCTGACTCTGACACATCTTTAATTATATAGAAGATCTGTAATAGATCTAGTAGTCAGTAGCACAGTCAGGGTTTTCAAGGAAGCAATTGTACCCTTTGCTACTAATATCCATCTTTTAACAATTAAAGTTTTAATCAGTGGCGTAGCGTAGTGGGGGCGGCAGATTCGGACCGATTGAAATGAGCACGGAATTTTTCATTACTTATTCCGTGACGAAACTGAATTTTAGTCTTTTAATTAAATTGAGATACCTAAATAAGGGAGCGGCGAAATTTTCCTCCGCCCAGGGGAGCTGACACCCACGCTACGCCACTGATTTTAATGAATTATGAAGTACAGTATATCCAAATGAATGGTTTTTATATATTCATCTTGCCAAAAGGCTCACAATAGCATTAGAACCATTTATTCAACAATACATGTTTTGGCTTGTACGTTTTCAGATTTTTAAACAAACGAAAATATTTTTCAATAAGTGATAAAATTTTACTTATTTAATAAGATAAATTCACACTCACTGGATGGAGACTAGAAAAATAGCTTGACTGAAGTAAAAGTAGCATTAAGGTGATTTTTTTTACAAATTATGCATCTCCCATAAAAGCCTCAACCATACAATATTCGATTATACAATTGAGTTTTTGGGTGTATAAACATTCTTCAACCTAGCAATTTAATTAATTGTAGAAAACGTTGTATGATTACCCAAATAAATACGAAAATAAGAAACATCAGTCGTACACTTCACTATCTTCAATTCTAATGCCTAAAATAAATTGCTTGTCTTTGTCCATAATTGAAAACTTATGAGTTTTTCTCATTGGTTGATGAATTTTTACTTAATGAATTATGAAGCATATTTAAATGAATAGTTTTCTGTATATACTTCTTGTCAAAATGTCTGCTTTCCATTTATTTAATATTCTGATGAAAGCATATAAGCCGAAACATATAATGAATTGTCGAATAAATGGTTTTAATGCTATTGTGAGTCTTCTGGCAAAACGAATATATAAAAAGCATTCATTTGGATATACTTCGTAATAATTCATTAACTAAAAATTCTAAAATAAAAGATATTGAGAAGAACTAAAAATTCATCAACCACTGGGAAGAACATTGAAGTTTGTTTATATTTAAGTAAGTATAAAATTAAATTAAAACCAGTCACAAGATAAGTTTGAATTTAAATAATAGAATCTGTAGTTTTCAAATATTTATACAGTCGACCCCCCTATAATACGGTAGATACGTTCCGTTTTTTATGAAATTCATGTTGTACGAGTCTTTAAATACATAAGCCAATCACATCCCGGCACGTGTGCAGTTTACGGACTACGGCTGTTTGAAAGGTTTTCTTCCATAAAATTAATCGATTCTAGACTAATTCGACTCAACATTTCCAAAACACGTATAATTTTTTGGGAATAATCCATACAAACTATGCTATAAACAAAAAATTGTAGGATTACTTATCGAGTGTGCACCGTTCGACGACCTCATTGCTTAAGCTTGTTTTCGTCGTAGAGCGGCGCATAGAACGGCGGGTGCGTGTTTTCTGTCGCTACCTCTCTACGTCGAGCATGATTCCACTGACGTTCCAAACGCCATTGTCAAACTTTTAGGCTTACAGGAAGACGGCGCTGAACGTCCGATGTACACGTTTTCGCGATGAAAACTTCGGCCGCAACCTCTCTAATAATCATCTCAATAATATCTTTAGATTTTTTTCTTCGTGTAAACATAATTTTTAAAGAATTTTATATTAAAAGTTTTAATACGTTTAATAAAAGCAATATGTAGAAAGTGTGGAAAAAGTCAGACTCCATAGATAATTTATTGTATAAATTATAATAAATGTTCGGTTATCATTTTTTTTAAAACTTCTTCACTCATTTAATACATAATCTTTGAACATTTTTATATAAAGTGATATCATTCTTTAAGTTTTGTATTGTTCTAGATCAGTTGATTTATAAATTATAAATTTATCAAGTAATTACAGACAAAATAAATTGTAATAATAATAAAATAAAATATATAGATTAAAATAAAAAGAGAAAAATGACGATGGAAATAAATAATTAATGTTTTGAATGTATTGTAGGTCAGTAGAAAGTTCAATTGCCACATCATAACTTATAATTGGTTGTGACTTACATTCAATAAACCACTTCCTTAAAAAAAAAAAAGGATCTCCTGTTTATAAAGCAATGTGATCCTGATCTAATTGCATTTGGAAGAGTAATGAGATAACTTTCAACAACTATAGCAATGTTCAAGTTATTTATATTCTTTTTGTGTTTTGTTAGCGGTAAGAAATTCCTGTTTTTTCAATTATTTATATTGATACATTAATTACAATTCAATTTTTAAAATATATATAAACGAATTATGCAGAGGTGTAGAATTAATAGAAGAGAGGAGCATGTGTCTAAAGGGCGTTATAAATTCTCTTAACAGAAAGTAAATCATCAAGTTAACATTAATATTAAAACTGTTTTTAAAAAATTACTTTTTTATTCACCATCAATGAATGCTGTCAAAATGTATACAATTATATATAGAGCTCTTGGGCGATGTAAGTTCACAATATACCTTGGAAAGTTTTATTAGAATTAATTTATTTGACACTTTAATTACACTTAGATACGTTGTAAATAAGAAATATAATAAGATATTCATTTATATATATTTACTTATATTCTAAACTGTAATTTTATTCTAACCTAAATGATTATTTTAGTCAGAAATTCTGTGACTTTAAATATAAAAAATACGTAAATTATGAACATGTTTTCTTGTAAATGAAAAAAAAAATAACTGTAAAATTAATTAATTTTTTTATTACATGACTGTAAAATAGAGCAAAAGTTTAATAACATGATTATTAACAAATGTTTTAACAAAATATTTTCTATAACTGTAGAATGTACAGTATGGGGTTTAGACTGTTCTGCAGATAATTTAGCAAAATGCTTGACATGGATGGAGCAGATGAGTCGAATTGAAAAAATGGCATACACTGAAGAAGAACTACAAAATATTTGTCAGTGAGTATTTAAATATAGTTTATAATATTTAATTGGAATTATATATTTTAAATTTTTTCTCTAAATATAAAAGATATATATATATATATGAAATAATTTCGTTTGTTTTTACATTAAAAATAAAAACGTAATGATAAAATTAGTTAAATTTATAATTCTTTCAGCCTCTTTGCATTCTTGATATTATACTAAAATTATGCATGAAATAAATTTTATTAACATTTATTCTGTAAGGATTTAAAAATTTTACTTAAAATTAAATTCGATACATTACTTTAATGTAGGCTATAAGAAGTTAAAAAGTTATAATAAAAAATAGTTTATTACTGATAAACCAAATCTTCGAGTTCCGTTGTCTGTTAAAATTTTGATATCTCTTTGAACATGCATTAAAACAAATCCGGTTTGTCGTAAATATATCATTGACATATCATTAAACTAATATTCAGCGTAATTTATAGAATATAATAAATAAATCAGATAGTGTAATTTTAGTACTTGATTGCTACTTGTTCTCTCTTATATTCTTTACAATTAAGCACAAAATTTCTGTAGAGAACTTACTGAACTTTTTAGCCCGTTTTTATTACTTTATTTTAAAGTTTTTATGTTTTTACTTTTTTATTTGCCAATTTTTCTATATTTTATTATGCTTTACCTTTTTATTTTTACAGCTTTAATTTAATTGTTTTACTCATTAGTTATTCCAGCGGTCACATTAGATATCATTTCAGTTTTACCATTATTATACATTAAGGACTGATGAGGGTCAAATTCCTTTCCAGAAAAATAGAAAATAAAGTCTACTTTTTTCATCAAAATAACGTTCCTGTATGATAGTAATTTTGTGCAATCTTTATATATTAATTTTGTGCTTAATTCTAAAGAAATCAGATAGATTTTGTTACTTAATTTATAGAGTAGAGAGCCTTTAACTTAATTAATAGAGCAGGAAACTTTCATTTAATAAATTTTGACTTACCGTTAGTTTGTTTCACTTATTGTTAAATAAAGTACTTTACAACAATGGCTAATTACGATTTTATATTACATTGCAATATATTCGCATCGTCTATGAAAGCATTTCACAATCTGATAAATCTACAATTTATTTACGATAGACAAAAGTCAATATTACGATAAGTAAAACTAATGTAGAAACTTTTCCATAAATAAGAACATTTATAAAAATATTCAGTGGACCCGACAAACTGTTATAAATTGCATATACAGTATATATTATAATAATTAGTGTGAGTTCCGCAGTTTGGTATTAATGAATTCGGTCAGGCCCGAGCGGTTGGCCTGAGTGAACCTCGAGATTATTTGTGGCATCCCTTTGTTGAAGGATGAGTGTCGCATGGATTCCGATGGAAATTGAACATAAACACACTTTAAATCTCTAAATATGTTTTTTGTACCGTTGAGAAAAATATATCAACACTAGCAAGGGTTTGCAATAATACTCAGGAGATATTATTATGTGGAAGTAGAGTATTGTATTTTCTTGCGATAATCGGATGATAACTAGATGACTATGGATACTGCTTCGTAAGGGACAGTCGACAGAGTGGATGTTTGAAGTCCCCCACATCTTGAGTCCACTATTCTTGATCAGAACCTTAACTATGGGGTGCTATAAAGTGGCTGTCCCTCACAAGTTAGCTTAGTTGCTTAACTGGTAATGCCCATATGCAGAATATATAATATATGCTTTCGCTTTCATCGCGTAAACTTAAATTACTTTTACAGTTTTTACACTTGATCTATAGTTAATAGCCTATTGTTACCTAGAAAAGAAAAAAATACCAGTCGGAATTTTTTCAGTTTGCCTCTGTAGCCTTCAATGAATTATTTCTGGCTGTGAGACTGTTCTTGGTTCTACTTGTACTGCCACAATCTATTTTTTTTTTTACATGGTCACATCTACAGATGTCCCGATACCATAAAAGTATCCATACCGGTATCACGAGTGGTCTGAAAGTATGGATACCGATCAGTATCTACATCGGGTATCGAAACTGGAAATCTTGCAGTCTGTCGCCTTCCAGTTGTTATTACTAATAAGAAGTTACACCTTTCTTCTTTTTTGCGCGATGGATACGTTCTAAGGAATGCTGTGTAAAAAGCATTCAAACATACGGTACATTCATCCCGTAGGAAAATGCTCGATAAGATCCACAACTTCAACGGAACGAAAAAATAAGCAATTCACAAAAGAAACACGATCTTTTTTATTATCATATTATATCATTATAATTATATCATTAACACTATTTATACGTAAATGTAGTAAACACATGGTAGCATAGGAAACAAAATCGACATACAGCATTCTCTGATGTACAGTACAGTGCATATAATATTGTACTCGGTTTAAAAAAGAAAAATTAACTCTTGATTTCAACAAAAAAGTAACTTTTTCAACAATAACAATTTTGACAAAAATTTAAATTTAAAAATGTTCAAAAAAACTGCTTTCCCCGAGTAAAAAATCAATCGCATAAAAAGAGGATTAGTTTTCTTTTGTCGACCGCGTTATTTCAAAATCTCGTAAAAAATGGACCCAGTAAAAAGAGGGTTAGATGTACAGTACTTATTACGGTGAATACCGAGTGGGTCCCAGAGCAGCAATTAATATTTTTTTTTTTTTACTTATTCCGAGAAATTGAATCCCGTCTATCTAAATCAGAAGTCAGTCAGTCAATACTTCAGTTTACACTCATAAGATGTGTTATGTATAAAAAAGAAGCCCCAGATGTACAGTGCTGTTAATGGGCTCTGTGGATACTACTGGGATAGGGGTGGATAATAAATCATTAGTAAACAGGTAAAACAGTTTCTTTACATTGAAAATTCTTTATTGTGTTCAAATTTTCAATTGTTAGTGCAAACAAGTGTATACAAGTTGTACGTACCTAATTTTAAACATCACTGATGGTCCAAGTTGATTAACAAACAAAAGTACTGTATAATGTTTATCTAAATATTTATTTACGTGTATAAATACAAACCTAAACTCTAAGCACATATAGATCGTGGAAATGAAATTTGATTTGACGTAATACATTTATTGGTTTTTGGTCATTAATTTGTTTTATATAAGTTTAACTTAACCGAAAATAGTGTAAAATTTCATTTCAGTTTCTGATTCGTCTGCGAAATCCGGTTTCATGCACACCTTACCTGTCTGTGAGAAATGTAACGATATCAGATCCGATATTCGGGGAAATTTTTCGATACCAAAAATACTCGATATCGCAGGAAATGGCGATACAGTATACGTCCCTAGTCACATCTGAAACATCTAATATTTAGGAAAATTTTTTTTCCTCCGTTAGCGACTCATTCTTGATTCTTACTAATAGTATGTGTCATCGGCGTGTGTCATAAAAATGTCGAATTGTTCCGTTGTCTTGCACGAATTGTTCCTTCTTATAACGGATGTTCCGTTAGAGTTTCTTTTAGAACTTTGGTTTAGTAGAATTTAAAATCAAAAACAAATTATATAACAGACAAATACGTTAGACCTTCATAATAGTAGATATATTTTATTATTATTAATTCTTTGTTTAAATTAAAGCTATTTTCAAATTGTAATTTATATAAAATGTTTACGTATTTTATTTCAGTCAATTGCACTTATCATTTTCATGCGTAAGTAGATATCGATCAAACTGTTTTACTTCAAAACAACAGAAAATATTTGATCAATTATTTTCTGAAACGGAAGTCTTTGTTAATGATCTTTGTATTCCCGGACCTTTTCAGCAAAGTTTGTATCAAATTTATTTTATAAACTTTAATATTATATATATAGATATATAATTTTATATTAAAGCAAATATATTCATTAAATTTATTTTATAATTTTTTGATTATTAAACTTATGTAGGATATTTGAATCACACGGGATGCATACACGAAGCGCTTAAAGATGAGAAAATATGTGCTCCAGAATTTAATGAAAAAATGGCTTTATTAAATTTTGAAGAAAACAACGATTTTAATTACGATATCAAGGTTCATTGTTGGTAAATTTGTATTCAATCTTATATTTTAATCTGTTTTTTTAAATTTTTATGAAGTTTTGAATGACATGATTATATCTTTTAGTGCACTCCATAAATATATTCTTTGCCAAAAAGAACTTTTAACCAAAAGTTGTGGTGAAGCAGCAGCAGAAATTCATCAGATTATCGGAGAGAGAATTTCTGGACCACAAATAAAATTAGTATGTTCTCCATACGAAACATCCGAATATTGTAATAACAACATATCTGAATAGAGTTTTTATATATTTCAATTAAAGTTTTAATCAGTGGCGTAGCGTAGTGGGGGCGGCAGATTCGGACCNTTTATATATTTTGATTATTTCTTGCTATAATATGAAAATATTGTAAATAATTAAAATTAAACAATTATACAGTTTATATCTCAATTCGTTATTTTTAATTACAGTTTATTGAGATAGAAAATTAAAAACTAAAACAATTTTAATTTATAAACTTTTGCAACTATGAGAATAAAGTTTACACTGATAAGTAATAAAAAATGATCAATTAAAAATACTATATTTTATAGTAATGCCCACAAACTTATTAGTTATATTCAACATATATGAAAATTTGAACAGTAGCTATTTAAAACTTTTAAATAAGCTATAAAAGCAAAGAAATTTTTATATTTTTATACAGTCTGTACATAAATATCTGGGCAAAAAGAAATGTATTTAAATAATAGAGTTAAATAGATGAACACCTAAACTGATTTATGTAGATATAAAATTTTACAAATTAACAATTGAATAGAATTAGTAATTTTATCTTAAGTTGTTATAAGCCAAATATGTTTTTAGACATTAATCAAATGTAGGTTGGAAATTTGTTCAAGATGCTACAATTCATTATAAAATGAATATGATTATTATAAAAATCAAAAAAATATCTACTTTTACTTTTTAAATTTGCTACTTACAATCGAGTTTTTATAAATAAATTATAAATCCACACTTAAATTACAATTTCAAAATCACACTTAATACAAAAGGGTTTACAATCTCGTAATAACAATTTTAAACGACAGATGGAACAACAAGGCAAGTTGGTTAAAATATTTATTCATTTTTATTTTTAATTGTTTATTAGTCATAAGATTAAATTCTGCTATAAAGGGAATATTCCTGTAACAGTGTTTTAACGTCAGAGTGTTTTTAATGTTAAAATGTAACCAATATAAAATTAGATTACACAATGGTATTTTTTTTTAATACCTAAAAGTAATTTTTATTCCTTATTTTATTTTATTCTTTAACGATACTTTTTAAAAAGTTATTTAATCCATACATTTGATATATTGATTTAATTGTAATATTTGAAAAATTTATTGATTTGACGCACCTTAGAAAATTTTTCATAATTTTATAACAGAAAATTCATAGCATTTCACCAATATCAGTGATCAGTTGAAAAGGCTATTTTACAATTTTAAGGCATAATTTAAAATATACTTATTGTTAGAATTGAATTAGATAAAACTCTATTTCTTTAATGTTTTTACGTGGTATAATTATTTATATTTATTTACACATATTATAATTGATATATGTAAATAATATATAATTATTTATTTATAATTATAACATAAAGAATGTAAAAATAAATATAATTTTATTGATTTTTTTATTTATTCAGTTTTAACTTTTTAATCCTTATTTTGTAACCAAAATTCCTGAATAAAATTTTGTATATTTTATAATACTATTCATATATTTACGCACTGTTTTCATTAATTTAATTTTATATACTTCTAAAATAAATATAAATTAAAAATGATAATTAAGACATATAAAAATAAAAGATATATAAGAATGTATAAGAAGAAATTAAATATACTTTGAAAAACTTAAAAAATTTATAAGATATTAAAATTAACCTTAACAAATAGCTAATAAAATATTTAATATAGTAAAATTAATAATGTAATTTGATTATTTTATTATTGATGAAGAATCTTTTGAGTAAAATAGAAAAATAATAAGAAATTTATGTCTATATTTATTATTTGAAATATATTTATTCTATAATAATTTAATTAAGGCATAAATAATAAACAGTATAATTATTCATACAATACTTTTCAAAAGTGCTTAAATTTGCTAAATAATAGTCAAAATTCTCGGTTAAATTTTTTAAGTTTTAAATAAATTACTTTGGTAAGTAATTTATGTTTTGATAAAATTTTTAGTAAGTAATTTGTTATTCACACATGAATAATTATATATAAGCTACTTGTACTGTACATTTATATAAAACTTTATATAGAGAAACATTAAATGTTTATGCAACTGGACATAAAAACCAAATAAGTTTATATTAATATTAAATATTTAATGTCCAGAAAGGCATTTAAAGAAATAAATAGTTGTTTTCAATTAATTTTAGTAGCTGTCATCAAGCTACACATTCAAATGCTAATTACGTATCTTAAATATAAGTGTATAATCTGAAGATGACTAAAAGTAGCTATCTTAATTTGATTAAAACACATCTTAAAGGTAGCTGAAAACGTTTGTTAAGCTGCAATTTGAAAAATTTTAGACATAAATTCCCACTGTCTGTCTATATTAATCTTCAGAACGGAGTTAGACAAATGAAAGTCGAGACCACATATGAAATACTTAGGGCAGGAGGTCCCTATTAACTATATACGACTTTCCGGTTTGTTTATCATTAGAATTTTTGTGAATATTAATATTTCTATGTTATAACTTTATTAAAATTAAAACAAAATAAATAATATTCAACAATCGTAATCTTAAAAAAGCATAAAAAATATATTAGTCAATATATTATACATTTTTCAAACTTTTAAGGATTGTTTAATATTATTATTTTATTTATTTTAATGAAACTTATAACATTAAGAATATGATTTTTAAATAAAATTAATCAAATTTAAGTAATAAAAAAGAAAAAAAGTAAGGTAGAAAATCTTCTGAATACACATAAAAAGTATTATTAAGCACGAAATTTGTAAAATCACATTTTACTTATCGTTTCTTACTATCTTTCTCGTTACCTGAATGATATAGAGACGTTAGGTGAGGCTAACTTCTTGAAAATTATATCGCTTGTCATCTTGAAAAGTATAGCAAAATCTCTCGAGATAAAGAATCACATATCCTGTTAAAATGTAGCTTGTTGAGAACTGATAATATCGCTTTCAAGATACTTTTAATGTAGGTCTATGTTATATAGACAGTTCTTAGTTACCAATAAATGATGTTATAAACTCATGCACAGTTTGTTAGACTTAAATAGAGTAAAGATAATAAAAAAAACTAACTTCCTTATCTCTAGAAAAGATTATATTCTCATAAGTATTATTATTTAAAAAAAATAAGATCTGGTGTACTGATAGAAGCCAATAAGCATTTGAAAAACATCAATTTACTAAAAAAATAAATAAAACTACATATATAATCATTTACTAAAAATTTATATATATATTTTTTTAATAATTTATGATAATATCAAATCTAGAACTGAATAAATTAGATTTTAATGTGTTAATGTAATAATAATCATAGTAGTTTTTAAATAATGTTTTTAATCTTTAATTGAAATAGATATAATTGACGATAAGAATTATAATTAGCAAATTTCAATGTAAAATGTGGGAAATAGAAGAAAAATTCAAATTATAAAAAATAAAGTAATTAATTATGGTAATTTAAACTTAAGATTTAAAAAAAAAATACAGTATATAATGAAATTATTTAATTAAATACCACGAGATGGCAGTAAGTTACTGTACTTAGATAATATAGAGAGACTGTAGAAAGATTAGAATTGATATTAATGGCAGAAAACACTTATAAAAAATAATAAAATTTTTAAAAAAATATAATTTAAAATAAACTCTCTATTGAACAGAATTTAAAGTACAGTTTACATTAATCTTGCGTTAAAAATACAGATGATATACAGTGTATTAGAATTTAAATTATAACATTTTTTTTTTATATCTGTAAATATAAATTACTTTTTAAATATAATATTTTCTTTTTATATAAATGTATATGTTAAATATCTCTTGCGGGTTTCCATATGTTTTGCATCACATCATTTTTTTCCCTGTAGAAAATGAGGTTTTTTTTGAAAAATCTAAAAATAAACAGTGTTTGTTACAAAATATTTCAGAATCGATTACCATTCCTTGAATATGAAATATTAAAACTGAATGACAAGTATTAGTATTATGATAAGAATAATTTATTATTTTTTAAATTATCTCAGTTAGAAGTTGGAATTTTCTGTCTATTCAGGATAGAATATTAATAAAATTGTATTCATATCACTTGCAAGATGTACTTGGAGGAACGAACAACGAAATTCTTATTTTCGCGACTTCTTTAATGAATGAGAAACGTGACCCCATAAAGAGATTCTAGCAATGTATAGGGTCTCTGCTAATGAAGAGAGATAAAGAAAATGGCCATTTTGCTAAAGTTCTTTCAAGAAAACGATTTTCTTTCATGCACTAAAAAGATATTCAAAGATGCGGGAGAAGCGAAATAAAAAATCGAATTCGTAACTTTTTTTTTATTCCTATTTCTGTATAAGTGTTAGAGTTTAATCTATAACGTATTTGCACTAAAATATGGCGATTAAATTAGTAAAAAATATAGAACAAAAATGATTATGGTACTAAATATTTTCATTAATACAAGCGCTTAATGATATGTTAGTTTTTATTAAATCAAAAAATGTATTCGTTGATAGGCTTGGTATGTAACATAATATGATAAAAAAAATCCAATAAAAATTAATTAATTGCATGTTCTCACAACCTTTGAAAGTGACTTAAGCTGTACATTTAGGAAATTTCATTTATTATTTCGTTATCTCATGGGAAAAATTTCCAATTCATTGAGGTATTTTAGTAATGCACGACTGAACATATAATAACTTTTTTTCACTTCTACTACGGAAACGGAACAAAAAATAAATATTAAATTAAATTATTGTACTGAATATATTTTAATTCATATCTTTTTAAATGGATTTAATAGAGGCATCTCATATTTATGGAAAGTATGTAAATTTACTATTCTCTCTCCTTTTCCTTCTATTACTCGTTTTACATATTTAAATGCGATATTAATGATATATGCCCAATTTCTTTATGTAAAATATTATTCCTTTTCATAAACACATATCAGATGAGGTTAATTTATAAGAATATTTCCATTTTTCGTTATCAAAATCAATAACTAGGAGTTCTCTGATTGAGATTATAAACTAGTATCGATGAAAAATATTCACGTAACTGAACTGAATGTATTGTATATAAAAATATTTACATTTTCTTAAATATTATTAAATTTATTTATTTTTTATAAACGACATTAAAAATAAATAAATA